TAGGGTATGAGGTGTGGTGAGGATGGGAGGTGGTGAGTGAGGTGAGGTGTGGTGAGGATGGGTGTGGTGAGTAGAGGTGAGGTGTGGTGAGTAAGGTGGGGTGTGGTGAGGTGAGTAGAGATGTGGTGACTGACAGTAGACAAAACCCTTTACCTCCCTCCCCGTCATTTTTCTCTTGGACCTTGTTGTGTGTGTGTGTGTGTGTGTGTGTGTGTGTGTGTGTGTGTGTGTGTGGGGTGTGTGTGTGTGTGTGGGGTGTGTGTGTTTGTAATGATGTGTGTGTGTGTGTGTGTGTGTGTGTGAGGGCGACCTGACAGAGGTGTATAAGTGGAAGGCAGGGCTAAACAAAGGGGACATTACAAGTACTCAAACTATCCAACCAGGGCGAACTCGTAACAATGGTTTTAAATTAGACAAATTTAGATTTAGGCGGAAATAGGTAAACACTGGTTTGGGAAACAGAGTAGTGGATGAATGGAACAAGTTACCAAACATCATCATTAACGAATATGTGAATAGCTTCAAACATAGTTTGGATGCTTATATGAGTAATAGGGGTTGGTGTAAACGGGACTGCCCAGTGCAGATAATGGGCCCGATGCAGTTCTCCCATTCTTATCATTCTTAATGTGTGTGTGTGTGTGTAGTGTGTAGGTGTGTGTGTATGTGTGTGGGTGTCCATGTGTTTGTAGTGTGTAGGTGTGTGTGTGTTTGTAGTGTGTGTAGGTGTGTGTGTTTGTAGTGTGTAGGTGTGTGTGTTTGTAGTGTTTAGGTGTGTGTATGTTTGTGTGTGTTTGTAGTGTCTAGGTGTGTGCCCAGTGTGTGTGTTTTAGTAGTGTGTGTGCATGTGTGTGTGCTTGTAGTGTCTAGGTGTGTGTGTGTTTGTGGTGTGTGTGTGTGTGTGTATGTGTGTGTTGGGTTGCTGCATGTAAGGACGGTTTGTAATGAGGATTGTCTGTATGTCTTGTGTCAAAGGGTGTTGTGCGTTTGCAGTTATAATAATACTGTTAGATGTATGTGTGCTGGAAGTAGGCGAGTGAGGTGCGCATGAGAGGGGCTGCTTCTCGGTGGTTAGGATGACAAACACGTAGCGCGTGCTGAGGAGTCTTAGGTGAGATTACCTAACTGTGTGATGTGATGCGAGAGCAGTGGTGGTGTGCTGAAAGTGAGTTCGTGTTTGCATATTATGGGTGCGTGCTTGCGAGTGGTGAGCTAGTTGAGGTTTGAAGTATCCACGGCCACGTAAAGGAAAGTTATCTAAGAGTTATTGCGGAGCAATACGTAACTTCTAG